AAGGCAAATGAACGCTTTCTTCGACGTTGATGCTGCGGCAAATAATCATGACGGTAGAAGTTTGAAGGAAGAACGCAGTGGCAAGAAGTTATCCAAAGCAGAACTAAAGCAATTTAAGGAGAAGAGAAAACAAAAAAAGGAAGAGAAACGAAGAGCGTGGTTGAGGGATTGAATATACCACAAATTTTTGCATGTTATTGGCGTTGCATTGGGGTTACATAGGGATCAAATCCGGGAGTTCTTGGATGATTTTGAGCGGAAGGGGTCTCGGAAACAGACTTCAAAGCCAAGGAAGGCCCAAATTAAAATCATATTAATCTTTATGTTCCATACATTTTCTTCTCTTCTTTTACAAGACAATTGGAACGGCTACCGAACTGTGGAGGCTGACCCCTTGAATACTCCGAGTCCAGCCATCACATTTTCCAATTGTATATTTCCAGGAGTTGCATGCATGGGGTTCGGAATTTTGCCTTATTCGCTCACATCGTACTTTGACGGTCTCGGATTATCATGTTGTTGATCAAATGCGCCGCTGTAAATAAAAACAGTCAACAACGCCAACCCTTTAATTGGGCAGCAGACTACCATTATATTTCACTTTCTGCCACAAAATGTCTATTTAATTTACAATTGTTCTTAAATCTTTCAACTCTATTGTCAATTTCATGCTTCACGAGACGCAAATCTTCATCATGCGGCTGGCTTCGTTATCAAATCCATAGCCCACCAGCCTGTACTCGGTCTCATGTTGATTCGTCGAATGCTGTCCTGTAACAAAAAATCATCGTACCACCCATGAGTTACCCCACCCCCACGAAGAAACGTCTCAAGTCTGGAATCAGACGCCGCGACCTTATCCGGGCAGTCTTCCGAAAGTCCTTGATCGATATTTGATGGCGACTTTTATGCAAGTGATAAAAGCCGTCCTTAGGATAAGTGTTTGAACTTTGCGGATCTTGCAACAACGCCAGGGATGACCTTCTGGCAACTTTCCCGTATGACATTTTCTCCAATCGATTTTGGTCAAGCTATCGGTAGACTCAAAAATAAATGGAATTTCCGGTTATTTTTGTCGTTGCGTTGAGTACGGACATCAACTGGCAATGCCGCAGTTGAAAAGATAAGGTAGTGTATCATTGCTTATGCATAACAAACAATGGACGAGCAAGCCAGATAAGAAGTTGTTCTAGTTGTCTTACTGCATACTGCGGGGTGTAGAATGAACAAAACGGGCTCTTGGCGTAGTATCCCTCCTTAGCCATGAAACTTTCTGTTTTCCCGGAGTCACTCTTTCAGAGATGAAGATCGACCGATTGGTGACAATGGTTGAATATTTGCCAGATTCCTCGTAGTTGAATGGCCTCTCCCTATCAATCCTTGCCTCCATGTGCTAGTGACATGTCTGCAAGTCTTCGAACCATTTGAGGAATCACAGGATAAAAATCTAGATCTCTTTTTTAGAGACTTTTCCCTGTCCGTGACTCCACTTGTTGATTTCATCAAGGGTGCGGGAAACCATTGGATAGAAAACACATTGGATAACTTTGCATTTCATATGAAAAACTGGGGAGATGTCGTCTACTATGTATGTTCCGTAGCACTTCTCTCTTCTCCATAAATTAGACATTGCGCCATTCTTCTCCCAACTTTGTCATCGTCTCACAGTGCTTTCCTGTTAAGCATGTCAATTGTCACCAATGGAATGATTCAAAGGTCGAGGGATGATGAATCTACACCTCTTCTTTCGGATGCGAAAACCCCAGAAGTTACGAGTTACAATAAATCTTCCATTCACAGCGATGAGGAATCCACAATATGCAAGATACCCCTTGTTGATCCATCGCCGGAAAGCTCGCGTAATATAGCAGGCGTCATTTCAATTCTTCTTTTAGGTGGGTGCAATTGTTTGGACTTTTTATTTAGAGGCTCTCCAAGCCAAAGATTGCTCTCTCTCTATTTTCCCATTCTCAATATCAATATACCCAATCTCACAAATCCCTAGGCGTCTTTATAGCAAATGCAGACGGGTCACTGGTTCTTGCCACGAGTGGAACCATCAGTAGCGAGTTCAATGATCTGGGAAATGCAGGATGGCTGATCTCGTCGTATATGCTGGCTATGTGCGCTACTCAGTCTTTGGTGTGTTGTCTACGCCTTTTTCCAGAATATAGGATCACCATCTAATTAGAGACTAGTATGGGAAATTAAGTGATATCTATGGGAGGAAGAGTACGATTCTAGCTTCTTATGTGTTTTTTGCTTTGGGCTGTGCTATTTGGTAGGTGTTTTTATTTGTGAAAAGATCTCGATTGTTATGATTGTTTGGTAAGGACATCAATAATTCGAGCTTCATTGTGGGTCATTATTGCTAGCGCAAACATATGGAATGGTGGGGTATTGCGAAATTAGTCATTGGACTTGATGTTTCTCACCCAAAACTGTGTCTGATGAACTGTTTGTAATAAGCTAATATAAAACTTAGTGGGCTGGGGTGGAATCTCCCGGTAGTGGTAGTAGGACGACTTGTTGCAGGCGTTGGTGGCGCTGGTATCAATTGTCTAGTATCGATTGTCATTGCAGGTGTGTTTCTTACACATTGTTATTAACAAAACTAATCTCATATCCACAAGACATGGTTCCAATCAGAGAAGTCGCTAAATGGAGAAGCTATGTCAATATTGCAGCTACAACTGGAAGATCATTGGGGGGTCCAATTGGAGGGTTTCTGACTGATACTATTGGGTGGCGTTGGTGAGTACCTGATGCATATGTAGTATTCTACTTTCTGATTATTTTGTGTTCAGGTCATTTTTAGCACAATGTCCACCTACTATCTTAGCCTTGATGCTAGTAATCTGGAAACTGGATATCACACCGCAACAAATCTGCGGCAGACAATCGCACTTCTCGAAATTAAGGCGTATTGATTTTCTAGGCTCCATTTTCCTTTCGGTCTCAATCGTTTGCGGACTTATGGTCCTCGATCTCGGTGGCCATCGAATGCCTTGGACTGATCTTAAATTGCTATCGCTATTAGGCATCTCAGTTGCAGCTGGAATTATATTCTTTCTAGTTGAAGGCTTTTGGGCCAAAGAGCCTATTTTCCCCTTGAGATTGTTGCGTAATAGAGATGTACTTACAAGTTACGTCAATTTGGGCTTTCAATCGGGCGCTCAGATGGCGGTATGTGGTTTCTTGACTAAGTATTCGTTTAATTTTAGCGACTAATGAATGACTAGATGATGATGCTTGTTCCGATTTATTTTCAAATAACCGATCATGCGACTTTCACAACGGCTGGTGCACATCTCATGCCTTCTGTAATTGGAAATGCAGTAGGAGGTCTCCTGGCTGGATATATTATTCACAAGTATTCTCTCCCCATTCCCTCCCCATTCCCTCCCCCCTTTTTTTTCTTAAAACTGTTCCGCTAATCCCCCCTAGAACCGGACACTACAAACCCATTCTCCTCCTCGGTGCCCTCTCCTCTCTAACATCCTACGCCCTCCTCCTCCTCCGCTGGCACGGCCACACCTCTTTCCTCGAATCCCTCTACATCATCCCCGGCGGCTTCGGTAACGGAATCGCACTTTCAGCATCATTTATAGGACTCACAGCTGGTGTAGAACAAGAAGAGTTAGCAATTGCCACGAGTGGCCTTTTTCTAAGCGCGAATGTAGGATGTGTGGTGGGGGTTAGCGGGGCAGGAAGTATCATGCAAGCGGGGCTTGAAAAGGGTCTTAGGGTTGCGCTTGAGGGGTGGGAGGGCAGTCAGAAGGTGTGTGGATTTTTTCCTTTTTTCTCTTCACTTTTTTTCTGGACTTCGTGGATCTGAATTACTAAATTATATCTTCTCTCCGCTCTAGATCATCGAACGAGCACTCTCGGATATCGAATACGTGCGGAATCTCGATGGGGAATTGGGAGAATTGGTGAAGAATGTTTATGTGAATTGTTTATCTTATACTCATGGTATGTAGACTTTTGTCTGTGCTGTTTGATATTGGTGTAGTTGATGTTAGTGAATTGTGACTAATGGGATGAATTAATGAATAGCTGTTTCTGTTTTTGCGGCGGTTGTGGCGCTGATTGCGGCGTGTTGTGTGAGGCAGCATCATTTGTGAGGATTGTGGGGGAGGGGGATTGGGGGTCAAGGATGATGAGGTATGGGCAGGAGGGTAAGGTAGGAGGCTCATAGGGTATGAGAAAAACGACTTTGGGAGATAATAAAGGCGAAGATTATATATTGAAGAGCGAGAATAATTGAAACTCACGGGAGGATAATTCACAACTACCAATTTTACAATCATTTCATTGGATTCTATTTCCAAAAAATTATGATGTATAGTCACATGGCGGAATCTCGAAAGTCACGTTCTCGGGGAATAAAATCGTCTCAAGAACGCCTTTCATTTTATGAATATCTGAAATATTCTTATTGCAAGACCACTTGCCTAACTATTCAGGAGAATTGCATTTCGATGTCCAAGACCCTTCGCGTGTTGAAGTTTAAAGCTGTTGGTAGCGAATCCGTATAATATCATCGGATGCTGTCTCTGGGAGGGACTTGGAGGGATTGATAGGGAGATGAGACGGGTGAGAACTGTGTTTTTGATTGGGGAGGGAGAAGGTGAAGGAGGGGAAACAGTGCACGATTGAAATATACGAAGTACCAGAAGTTCTTTCCTTTAGTTGTATATCAGGGAGTCGGTAGAAGTTTTTTTTTCGAGACAATCACAATTATGCACTTGAAGCATTGATTTAGTTGAGTTAAGCAGTATGCAATCTAAATACAAGTAGCTTAAAATAAAAAATCAAGCCACCGCCAGTACTCATGACTCGAAATTATCGTTAAACGGATATATAAACTAGATAACAACACGAAAAGGGGTATCAGAAATGAAATCTAGTTAACATAACCTCAAATTCCAACATCGCTGAACGCTCCAAAATAAAGCAAATGCAGTATAAATCAGGAAAAAGAGACCCATAACCATCTACCACCGCCTATATTCATAAACAGACTCAGAACGCGAACGAACTTGAGGAAAGCGGACTTCTCTAGAGCCTGGCTGTTTCACTCGAATCCTTGGTTGTCTAATCTCCCACACATCTTGACATGGTGCATCGGGAGCTAAAGGAGATAACAAGTATGGCTCCTTCTCCTCTAGCTCTCGTCGCGAAGGATGTCGTCTTGGATATTCGTCCCGACGGTCGACATGTACAGGAAAAGGCAGGATATGTACTTCTTCAGAAGTAGGTGCAGGTGCAGGTGCTGAAGCCTTTTCTTTTTCTTGTGTCGGTTCATGGCTCTTCGTCCCCCCAACCGTAATACCCTCTTTCTTCCCATCCCTCTCCATTTGTAATTGTATTTCCAAGTGTGCCTTCTCGTACTCCTTCTCCATCATTCTTCTCTTATGTATGTGATGATGCCATTCATGTCGTACTTCTAACCCCGCAAGAATCAACGGAGCACTCCAGAGAACAAGCTTTCCGAGCTTCTTCACTGGATTCTCGAGTTTCTCAACTGTCTTGTAAACGCGCTTCCCTAATCCGGCTACCTCCTCTTCGACATCTTTCTTGAACCTGTCTTCTCTATCTCGTGTATGATGTCGATGTGATCGAGAGTTCCTTGACATCTTGCGCGAACGTTTTCGACTGCCTGATGAGCGCGAAGATCGGGAGGAGCTAGTGGAGGACTCCCGAGACAATGTTGATTTTCGGTGATTGTGAGGCATTCGCAGAGTTTTGGGTATTGCTGCTTCGTTCTCCAGATGTATAATGAGAAGCACAATGGTATCAGAGAATAATGAGTAAAATCTGTATAGTTAATCTCGAGTGATGATCTAGTAGCAAGAAAATAATTCGCAAAGCAAGCACTTCCACTTATGGAAAGGATTAGGTTGCTATATATTGCCATTTTAACATCTGCGACAACTTGAGGCAGTGATGTTCAGCAGTTAGAGTCATGTGTATACATAACCAGCTGACCTACCGTATGAGTCTTTTATCTCGACACAGATATGTTGCGAGACTATGTTTCGAGAAAAGATGACTCTTATTCATTGTGATTTTCAATCAAATGATTTCGAGTGAAGAGAGGTGATGAACCCTTCGTGAGTTGCTGGAAGTTCAAAGATGATGAGGACTGGAAGCGCGACGCGTTGCTAGCCAGCTAGCCTAGCCTAGCTCACATGTTCACGTGCGCTTATATAAGCGAGATATCAACCTGTAGTTCCCGAGGTCCCCCACAAGCAATGCTGCTCAAAACATGCAACTTCTGTGATTTGTCGAACAGCGTAGTATTATATATGCAAGGATTTCTAGTGAAATCTTTTCGGACATGCTATTCGGCCTTGAGCAAGTGCATCCTCAGAGGAGTACCTTTCACGTGGTTATTCTCATGATATCAGTCAGTTGATTATCTTGTCAACCGACTCAATCTATGTTTCGAAGCTCCGCGGAGTATCACTTGTGTTCTGAATTTGCACCCGGCTAAAATTAGCACCCATTATCTATTCACAAGGGTACTTCCATATCTTATCTGTTTTTTCTGATATTCGTTTACTGTTTTCTGGCCCATCGACAGGCCCTAGCATTACGTTGCGTTTTTGATCTCTGGTGACTAGCACCATGTAACTTACTGTGAATGCAACATGTAGACTTGCTAGAGCTATGAGCTAGCTTTAGCTGTCCGATGTAATATTTTACTTGCTTGTACGAGACGCTTCTTCCAGCGATGCGATACGGGTTTAAACATCTACTCCTCGTAAAACAATGTTCGTCTTCTATTGGATTTAGATAAGATATCCAAAATTATCCTTGTGTAGAACACCTACAGCTTCTCTATTGATTCGCGTGAACAAAAGAAAAGGCTATTCTTGTACGCATTAGAACTCCAATAACGAATTGCCGTCTAAATCCAGGGTAGGATTAGGACACCTGTAAGTGGCGTCTACCACCCCACCCTCAGCATATGTGAATACTTGATTTTTATTGCTTTTGCCGCAACAGTGGCGCCTAATAGTCTGAGATACAAGACTCTACACATTTCCCCACATATGAAATTGATACTTGATCAACGTCGAGCAGACAACAGCACTGAGCTCAACTATCTCAAACACTCTTAACTCTTATACATTGAATCGCACGTCATGTCTAAATACAGTTATTCTACAGACCCGCTGAATTCTGACAGTATTCGCTTGCTCGGTTTAATGCCAGCTAAAGACCTGGCCTCTCCAATACATTGCCGACTTCATGATTATTCTCTTCGAGAATCGGACAGGGGGATTCATCTATATGAAGCATTATCCTACGTATGGGGTAGCCCGGAGAGCTCTAAAGTTGTCTATATAAACAATAGCTCTCTATCTGTTACTGCAAATCTCTATACAGCACTACTACATCTTCGAGATTGCACCTTCGAAAGGATCATATGGGTGGACTCTATTTGTATCAATCAAGAAAATGACATAGAGAAGAGTCATCAGATTCAATTAATGGCAAAGATCTATGGTCAAGCGAATCGCGTAATTGTTTATCTTGGTGATGAAGCAGATGATAGCAATCAAGCGCTCGAAAGTATACGTTTTGCTGCAGAAGGTGAATCCCCAGGAGGTGAATCCCCAGGAGGTGAATCCCCAGGAGGTGAATCCCCAGGAGGTGAATTTCCAGAAGGTGAATCTCTGGATCGTCGAATCAATGAAATGAATCAGAGGGGAGTTTTGGAACTGCTCAAACGACCATGGTTTGAACGTATCTGGGCAAGTCGATCAATGTTCCATCAATGATATTACAGAAAATTACTAACAAGATTTGATGCAGGTTCTTCAAGAGGTTGGCTTCGCTCGACAGATCCTGATGATGTGTGGCTCTGCTATAGTAGACGGGTATATCTTCAGCACTGGCTTCAGCCAGCTTTTCTACAATCGTCAATCAGACTTGCTAGATCTGATCCGTCCAGTGATGTACCTAATAAGAGGAGCAATCTTCCGACCAAAACATGCAATTCGGCCATCGGGCGCACTTTCTCTAGGCACATTGGTAGATATGTACCATACCCGTAAGGCCACCAAACGCCACGACAAGGTATATGCCTTGCTCAGCATGAGTTCCGAGAGTTCTAATCTAGCTGGATTGTCGCCTGACTATAAGGTTACATGGGCAACGCTTTTGGAGCGACTTGTTAAATTTATAATCTCCCAAGATATATCTCTAAAGACTTGGGAGGACAAGGAGATAGCCTTAATTGAGAGCAAGGGCTACGTACTTGGCCGTGTACACTCAATAGAAATCGATAGTACCAGGCACGAGAGGCAGTGTGTAAATATCGAATTCAAAAATCAGCCAAGTATCAACAAGGGTTACACTCGTTGGATTCTTCAGGCTTCAGCGAAATCTATCCAACAAGGCGATCTCGTTTGCCATTTACAAGGGACTTCAAAGCCAGCTATCATTAGACCATACAAGGATCATTTTGCTATCATTTTGATTGCGGTTACTTTGCAAGATAAAAGACAGATAAAAGATGGATGTTTTGACACTCTATATGACTTGCCTCCGATCAAGAAATTCTTGCGTGATTTTCTACTTATCTGGAACTGGGAGCAAGGCCCAGACAACTTGGAAAGTCAAGCAGAATATGAAGGTACGATTGAGAGGTATAAATCTGTACCAGGAAATCTAAAGACGGATAAAAACAGAGCAGTCAATTTAATTAATGTATCACTTGTCTTGACAGATGCAGGAGACTACGAAAATGCAGAGAATATACTTCAAGAAAAGATAAAGAGCTACGAGGGAAAGCTTGGAAGAGAGAATACGCATATATTAGCATTGAAAGAGACCCTTGCATGGATGTATCATCAGAATGGTGACAGGATGAAATCAGAGAATTTCTTCTTGCAGGTAATACAGACAAGAAACGATCTTCAGGGAAAATATCATCAAGATACATTGAGAAATGTGGCAAAGCTAGGATTGGTCTATATGAAAGAAGGATTCAGCTGGAGTCTCCCAAGCCAATCTATGATAACAAGACTATCGAACCAAATTGAAAATAATCGAATTGGCGAGGAAGATATGATACAAATTGGAGAGTCTTTTAATCGGAAAATGATGAAACTTATGTTGGATCAGAATAAGGAGAATTTCCAAGTTACAGAAGATGTGGTGAAGGCTGCGGCTAGAAATACATATTTTGGTTATGAGGTTATGAAACTTTTGTTCGAGAAACGAGGTGAAGAAATAACAATCACTAAAGAGATGATAAAGATTGCAGCAGAGAATCTGAGGTGTGGATATAAGCTTATGGTACTTTTGTTTGAGAAACGAGGTAAAGAAATAACAATCACTGAAGAGGTGGTAAAAGCTGCAGTGGGAAATCGGAGTACAGGGTATGAGATTATGATGCTTTTATTTGAGAAAAGAGACGAAGAAATAACAATCACTAAAGAGATGATAAAGATTGCAGTGTGGAATTGGGATCAAGGATTTAAGCTTATGAAGCTTTTGCTTGACAAACGAGGTAAAGAAATAACAATCACTAAAGAGCTGATAAAGGCTGCAATAGGCAATAGGGATAATGGATATAATAGAACAATACTTTCATTCGAAAGACGAGGAACAAACTTGTTTTCTGTTCTTGAAATTCAGGATGAAACAGAAAGACGTCTTTGTGGGCAAAATATTGTTAAGCTTCTACTGAAGGAACGAGGGGAAGAATTAACAATTCCTGAAGAGGTAGTGGTGATAATTGCTAGCAATTTCACCGAAAAAGTTATGGCACTTCTGCTTGAGAAACAAAGGGAAAAAATAGGCATTACTCAAGAGATATTGAAGGCTGCAGCAGTAAATGCTTTTGGTGGGGAGATTATTAAACTTCTATTGGAGGAGCGAGGAAAAGAAGTAATCGTTACTGAAGAAATAATGAAGACTGCAGCAGCAAATCCTTTTAGTGGGAAAGAGATTATTAAACTTCTGTTGGAAAAACGAGGGGAAGAAGTGATAGTTACCGATGATATAATGAAGGCAGCAGCAAGTAATCAGGGGACTGACCGTAAAGCAATAATGTTATTATTGAAGCATCAAGCAACTGATGTGATCATTTGAGAGGAGATGATCAAGATCGCCACTACAGATGAGTAATTGTCTGTACGTAGATGGATAGCCTTAAGTCATTTATCTTACTATAGTAACATAAGCGAGAGCGCTCGGCTCGTAGTAATTCTCATAAAGGATTACTTATTCTTGTATATAGCTTAGCTCTAGACAGAATATACAATATTGGTAAGCGACAGACTTCCAACCAACAACATCTAGAGAGCCTACTCAACTTTCAACTTCAAAAATATCCTTGATAATGTCTCCTGGTAACGACGTACCCGTCAAATCTTCTCTCCACAGTAGCAAGGCGAGAATTGCAGTAGGTGTCGTTCTGGTCGCCTTGTTAGCCTTGTTCACATTTGAATTCTTAGTTCCGAAGTGAAGACGGGTGGCAGGAAGACAGCGGATCACATTACTGACTCCCATAATACAGACTTTCAAGCTACACTGAACTATCCAAAAATCACTTGATTCTCAAATTGAGCTATTTGTAAGATCAACAGTAGATCTTCAACCATCTCGGCTTAGTAGTCATTATTCTAGTAGCGACGAAGAAGAGCTGTGAGTACTCTCGCCTATTTTTCGAAGTTTTATCAGCTGTATCAGACTTTTTGGTTAGATCAAAAGGAAATCTATTATTTACTTCTAAATGAACTTATGTATTCCGTTTGGGATGTCTTCTGATGTCTTTTTTCTTTTTTTCGAACCTAGCAATGCTATTGTAGCATCACGGTCTAGATCTAGATGCGGTTATTTATAACCAGTTTAATATATGGATACTCATATAGATACTTGATCTACTTTGCGACATCCTTGTTAAAATTTTATGCACTAAGTTCACTCTGTTATACTTCCTATGGTGACATATTCTTCAAATTAGGAATGAAGGATTCTGAGTGTACCGAGACACCTATAAGCTCAGACTGGGCAGATTAACGCTGATAGTACCAGTATACTGAATCTCATTGAAGAGCCTATATCTTCTAAGATAATAAAATGTAGAAGATGAAAGTAGATGGATATACGCAGAGTTGAGCTCATTGTAGATGATAGGAAGTAGTTTCAACTTTTATGACGATATTTGAGCATGATTGCAGATTGCAGTGTGGAATATGAACGAAAGAGTAAACTCGCTTAAACTAAAACTTAAACAGATAAAAACCGTTTTGGCGAGCGTATACATATTGCTACTATGATGATCTTCGGCCACAGATCATTAGGTTGGGGATAAGCCGGGAACATGATATGGAGAAAACTATACTCTGGGTCCACGAGGCTGAATTGAAGATGAGAGAAAACAACTTTTGGAAGGGGGTGAACAGCCGTTTTCTGGAGTCGTGACAGAACAGGCGTGTAAGCGCTGAAGCAATATACTTAGCTATCGAGGCTGTATGATATGGTATTCAAAGCTACTGGATTCAGCAGTCCTAATAGTCGTACTTAGACATAAAGTATAAAATACGACTATGTAAAATAATACAGTTTCGAAATTATGATACTCGCCGGGGTTGGGAAATCATTTAATGGTATTTTGAAGAATAGAGAGGAAGACTGACTTGATATGTGGAGAGAATGTATTATATTAATCAAAGAATAAAATTATAGAATATTTATCCACTCATATATATATATATATATAGTTTCTATGATAATATGATTCAAGATCGTGATCGAGATTTTCATCAACACATAAAGATAATTACATCTTAGTTAGCCTGATTTGAATCTAGACTATTTGAATTAGAGAGGGTAGGAAAGTGAGAGAGAAGGGTAGAAGGATAAGAGAATGGTTGAGTAGGAAAATAGAGATGTATAGGAGAGTCAGGGGAGAGGGTCTAGGAATTTGAAACAGGAAAAGTAGAGCAGTACAAAAGATGAATACTAGTATAGATTGAGATAGTAATCGAGTAGAAAAGTGATTCTAATAGATTTAGGAAAGCTGACCAACCATAGAAATATGAAATTCGCATTAAAATGTAGGGATAAAACTAATAGATAATATTAATACCTAGATATACCATTGATTATATCTTCAGAGGGATGTTAATGTCCTAATCAGGTCATATAGACTCTATCTATTCACCTATTCTTATATCCACGCAAAATCACACCAAATCATCTGTTGAGGCAGTCAGTCTAGCCATCCATCTGATCTTCCACCAATATCTCAAAGCCCCAAACAATCTACCACTCCAACTGGCCCCCCTCATAACTCCAAAATTTCCCCCCGTGACTCTCCTTCGTACTCTTCGTAATAAGTGGCACCATCAGGGCACATGAATCTTCAACTGAAACGGCTGCTTGATCCATTCCAAACTAGACGGCACCCGCGTTACCGAGCTCGGTTTGGAACCAGCCGGGATCAAGAACGAAGGCGTTTAACGGGGGGCTCTCGACGTTCATGCGTTTGGTGAGCCAGTGGATGGCGGCCTTGGAGGGGCCATAGGCACCGTTCGGGATGGGGAGTTGGTTCTGCGTGGGCAGTCAGTGGGTTTCTTAGTTGGTTTGGGTGGGAAGGTGAGATGGGGGACAGAAAGTAGGAGATAAGTGAGGAATGGGGTGGGAAGAGAGCGATCTTATCAAAGATTAACAACAAAACTCAAAAAGAAATGCTCACAGTGATCATCCCCGCCGTACTCCCAATAATAACCCATTTTGGATCCTTACTCTTCAATAACAAAGACAAAGTCGCCTGATACAATCTCACAGCTCCATAAACATTTGGAATGAAATGGCCTTCTAGATCTTCAATCTTTAGATCGATAACAGAGGGCCACGCGTAAGATACACCAGCGTTGGCGATGACGAGGTCTATATGGTTTATTCCGAGGAGGGAAGCGTGTCGATGGCGGTTTGCGCAGAGGTGGGAGAGGAACCGTCGATTTTGATGATGACTGGGGGTGGAAATGGGGGTTAGCGGATGTGGGGGAGGGGCCTGGGAGAGAGTGGAGGGGAATTATGAGATATTGATGTATTATGGAGTGAGAAAGTCGGGTATCTATGATTAAATCCGTAAAATACGAAAGTGAAATTTTGCCATCGCAGTGAAGAACAAACAAATTCGGGAATCATGAAATAAGAAAAGAAGAAAAAATAATTATGCTCACCAAGCTTGGAATTAGGACCAGTAGGCAGCTCTGAGAGAGCTTTCGACGTTGGATGCGAAGGGTCCCGATTGGCGGCGATGACGATGTGATCGGGTTTGCTAATGTATTTGGGCCAGGAGACCTTTTCCTATTGAGCGAGACAGTTGTCAGAATGCCGTCTCTTTTGTTATGTTAAGTGGGAGTTTGGGAATGAATAAAACGAGGTAAATGAATAATATGTGAACCAAGAAAGTATTATACCTAAACCTCTGATAGCACCACTAATAAGAACGATTGTTGGAGCCATGATGATTTCATTAAAGATCAACCAACCAACCAATCAATCAATCAATCAAGAATTTAAATACAAGTATAGACTGTTGAATACAGGTTATCGAGGTAGACGAGAGTTTAAAAAGTATACATCAGTAATCTTTAAATGAACAACTACCTACACGGATTGTTGGACCAACAGCTACGTTTTCCCAAGGTCACTTGCACTAAAATCTGTATTTCCAATCTTGAATATGACAAAATTACAAATCAACAATATTGTGCTTGATAATAAGAAACAAATGATAAGGAAATTAATAGGGGCTGGAAGGATATGAGGAATTGAAGTGGCTTAATAGTAAGATGCCTATCTAATAAGCGACATGAAGATAAATTTGCTTTGCCATTTCATACATTTTGACAAAATATTGTTGACTTGATAGCGTGGATTTCAATTGGTCTCTGAGAGTTGTAACATTCGTCACATGATATAGAATCAATCCTCCCGAAGTCGCAGATCTATTTTGCCGACTCCCCTTATCTACGTTGTTCTATCAACTAGAGGCTGTTCACCTATAGTTTACTCTCCCTCCCCTTTTCACCTTCCCCATCTAGCTCACAAACCAGCACTCCCACCCCTACATCCTCCCCTCCCTCCCCCTCTTCCCATCGATCTTCCTGCCCATCCCCAAAAACCCACTTCACACACCCATCCCTCTGACTTCTAACCTCAACTTCCATTTTCATCTGTCTGATCACACAGATAGTTTGGCCATCCACTATCTGATCCCCTCTCTCGACGCAGATTTCGATGAGTTTTCCCGGGAAAGGTGTTGTGATATGGTTTGGATTTTGGGGGTTGCCGAGACGGTGGGTAGATTTTTGGGAGGTGGGAGTAGAGGAGGACGAAGTGAGGGAGAGTGTATAGGGAGTCGGTTCTGTGCTAGTGGAGGATGGAGAAGTGAATAGAATGTTCGCTTTGAGAGAAGAAGGAAAGTTGTTGCTGAGGATGCGGGTTATTTGCATATGATATGGTATTGGCGCCGAAGTCCCAGATTTTGCATTCGTATTGGAGGATTCATCAGGAGTAAGTTCAATATTCCAAGCATCTCTCGGACGGAATACCACACCTGATGAAGATGGTAAAGTCGGTAATGAACTCGTCAATACCGGTATTGCCGAATTTTTCAAGCCCTCGCTTATCTTCTTGGCGGATCTGAGTAACACCGGTAAATTCATCTCCAACCATCTTGTGTCGCACTCTTGCTTCTTAAATGCATCACTGTCGATGATTGCTCTTAATAAACCTAAGTTAGTTTCAATTCCAATGATATATGTATCATCTAATGCTCGTTTAGCTTTCGCGACGATATCTCGCCAGGTAGGTGCGGTGATAATGAGCTTTGCTAGTAGACTGTCGAAATCTGTGCCGATGACTGCAGGGGTTGAAGGATGCAGATGAGTATCTACTCGAATACCATTTCCTGAGGGAAAATAGAAAGATGAGATTTTCCCGGGACTGAGTGAAAAATTCTGAGAGGGGGATTCGGCTGTGATACGGAGTTGCAGGGAGTGAATTTGAGGTGGTGTTAATGGGGATGAAGGGAGAGATTCTATGAGCAGTGATGAGAGGGAATGCCCTTGAGCGAGGAGAAGTTGGATTTTGACGAGATCGATACCGGAAGCCAGAGATTCGGTAATCGTATGTTCGACTTGTAAACGTGGATTGATTTCCAGGAAATAGAACTCTGGCGACGATTGCAGGACCAAAAATTCGAAAGTTCCAAGCGAGTGATAATTCACCTTCCTGGCCATCCTCAACGCACTTTCAATAACCTTCTCGACAACTCCCCTATCCGCAACCGAGCAAGGAGCAAACTCCACCACTTTTTGAAATCGCCTCTGGATACTACATTCCCGCTCCCAAAGATGTCTTACCCCTCCTTTGCCGTCGCCAATGATTTGAACTTCTACATGTCTATACCCATCTACAGCAGCTTTCTCCGCAAAAACCTTCTTGCTAGGACTTTCTCTCAATGCTGCTCTTAACATCCCTTCTAGCTCGTCTTCTTTCGTCACGATCCTAATTCCACGCCCTCCGCCTCCATCTACTGCTTTAATGATGACAGGATAACCAACCTCTGATGCAAACTTCTGGAGTTGAGTCGCATCATCTGTTGGGACTTGGAGGGCCGGAAGAATAGGAACGTGACATTCCTGTGCAAGATTTCTCGCCATCAGTTTATCACCTGTTCTCTCTAGAATTTGGAATCCAGGTCCGATAACAACCGCGTTAGCTTCTCTCCACATTCTTTCTGCAAACTCAGCAGACTCGGATAAAAATCCATAGCCTGGATGGATAGTATCGATATTGTATTTTTGAACAATGGAAATCAGAGTTGAGATATCGAGATATGAAGATGGAGATGGAAGTTGAATGGAATGGGTTGAGTTCAGAGTGTGTGATGAGTCGTTGGTGGTGTAAAGGGTGTAAGTTTCTATGTTTAACTCGCGTGCTGTAGATAGAATACGCGTTGCTATTTCTCCTCTTTTGGGGGTTAGTTTGGGGGGAGATAAGAAGGGGCTGGTGGTTACCTATTTGCTATGAGAAGACGCTTGATAGGGAGGAAGGGTTGTTGTGGCATTTTCTCGAGTTCTATGTGGAAATCTGGAAGTATACCGAGCTGTATCCTCTCTGACCGAAAATGAAAGCAAAATGAATTGTAAATTTGAAATTATTGAAGCTCCATCAATGTTCGAGATGTGGCCGAGCTTCAAGGTGTGGTTAAGCTTCCCCACAAAACACGGGGCGGGGAGTAAGCCGAGGTCCAAATCATGTAGATCATTAGATCTTCATCAACAAGCTCTCGAATGTTTGCTTCTGCTTTTACAAATTGGTATCAAAGAACGAGATCTGAAAATCAAATATCACCTCATCATCATGACAAACGATAAGAAAGAAGAAAGCTCTTCAAAAATCGCGTCAGATCGAATATCTCAAGTAGCCGGTCATATCTCTAATACATCCAGTAAGCGTCGAGGGCCCAAAACAAAAAATGATCTCCCAGCCGACTATTCAGATATTCTCGGGACGATATCCTCTTTGCAAAAAATAGCCCAAACACCCGATCTCTCAAATAAAGGATATATCCGACAAAAGCAAGCTGGGAAACTCTGGGTCCGAGAACGAGTTCTTCAATTACTCGACGCAGATAGTTTTCGCGAAGTAGGTTCTATTTCTGGAACTGTTTCATGGAAAAGACTAGATCCTTCGGAAAGTCAGGGGAAGAGAGAAGAGCCAATTTCTTATATACCAAGTAATAATGTACAAGGCTTTGGCTTATTGAGAGGAAGAAAAATATTGTTTACAGCAGATGATTTTAGTATTCGTGCTGGACATGCCGATGGTGCATTGACGGAAAAAACGATTTATATGGAAAAATTGGCTGTTGCATTGAGGTTACCTATTGTCAAATTGGTGGATGGCTCTTCGGGAGGAGGGTCTGTGACAACTATTAGAAAAGAGGGGTTTTCGTATATACCGCCTATGCCATCTTTCAACCATGTGGTCGAACAGTTGAATATGGGGATTCCCAATCTAGGAGCTGTATTGGGACCGGCTATTGGGCTTGGAGCTGCGAGAGTTGTTTCATGTCACTTCTCTGTGATGGCTGCGGATGTTGGAGCGTTGTTTAATGCTGGACCAAAAGTTGTTGCTGGTGAGTGTATTGTATTGGCGGAAGGAAAATGCTAATCATCAGCAGGTGCAACTTTTGAGGAAGGACTTACTTTCACAGATCTCGGTGGCCCAAGTATGCACTGTACAAATGGCACCATTGATAACATGGCAGGAAATGAACAAGAATGTTTTGAACAATTGAGGACGGTTTTGAGCTACTTACCAAACTCTGGTGCTTCTTTACCTCCAGTTCTAAACACTGAAGACCCAGCTGACCGGCTTTGCGAAAGTCTAAGAACAATCATTCCACGCCGAAAAGCGAGAATGTATGATCCTAGAAAAATCATAAAGACTGTTGTCGATGCAGAAAGTTGGTTCGAAATTGGAGCACTTTGGGGAACTACTGCAATTGTTGGTCTTGCCAGACTTTCTGGTAGACCCGTTGGAATCATATCTATAAATTGTGAGATAAACGCTGGAGCACTTGATGCTGTTGGAAGCCAAAAGATCACTCGGCATCTCAAATTCTGCGATATTTTCAATATCCCTATACTCCAATTTGTCGATATTCCAGGGTATGCAATTGGAACAGTTGCAGAACGAGCAGCGACGATGAGGCATGGGGTAGCACTTGGGACAACATATTATTCTACAACGACTCCAGTCTTTAGTGTTGTGACGAGGAAAGCATATGGGGTAGCTGGTGGAATCATGCTCGATTGTAGAGATCCTCGTTTCCGAGTAGCGTGGCCAAGTGGAGAATGGGGAAGTCTTCCACTAGATGGAGGTATTGAGGTTGGACATGCTGCGGAGTTGAAAGCAGCAGAAGCGAACGGAAAACGAGAGGAAAGATATAAAGAGTTGGAAGAAGAATATACTCGATTGATGAATCCAGTTAGGACAGCCAATGCGTTTGGGGTGGAAGAGATTATAGATCCTGCTGTTACAAGGCAAATAGTTTGTGAATGGTTGAAGCACGTGTGAGTACCTCTTCCTCCAATGTTCGTGGTGTTGACTAATGTCATGCAGATATGAGGAATTATTGCCCATCAGACTTTTGGATCGAGCGAATGGGAAAATTCACCCAATCTTCTACTGAATTAGGACGTCGTCGCCACTGAGAATTCCTTTCTATTCCAGACTGCTCGATTACTGACCCGGCTCGCCCGGCTAAATTGAACGTGGCTACACCTCAATTATTGACTAATTCTTGGATAATCTAGATTCTTCTTCTTCATTGGTCGTGGAGAACAAATTATACCAACAGGAATGATTCTGAGCACGTGAGATGACAATGCCCCTGCATCGAATGTTCTTCCTTTCTTCGCTGGCCCACACGTTCCCATGCATTTGGT